CAAATAAGGTGGCAAAGAACTAGAATCAGTATTTTGAAGATGTTTTCACAAAGGTAACTAAATCTAACGTCTAATTCTAGTTCTGTTGAGCCTATCTTAGAAATGTCTTTCAAATTTTTATCTTTTCCTTTTCATCCCTTATAACCAGACTATACAGGGACAGCTGTCAAAATAGCCTTCAACTTTTTAGTGTAATGAAAAGGTTCTGTAATTTTTAGATAGTGGTGGTAGTTGTAGAACATTGTGAATATACTAAAAGCCACTTATTTGTACACTTAAAATGGTTACAGTGGTGAATTTTATCTCAAAAAAAAAAAAGCCTTCTGATCCATCCCTAATCTATCTAAAATGCACAATTACTTCCCTGCTCACCAATCTCCCTTTGCCCCTCATTACCTAAGACCTGACTCCTTGGCTTGATGTCATTAACGATTTAGCCCTCAATCCCCTCCAGCCTCATCTTTGATCATAACTCCTATCATTCAGTCATGTGAAATCTCAACATATCAAGCTCTTCCATATCCTTAAGCCTGGAAACACATTCCCTTGGTTTGGAATGCCTCTTTCCTGCCCTTGTCAGTCTGAGGAACTTCAACTCCTCAAGACCCAGCTCAAATGGCAAATCTTCTGTGAAGCCTTCCTTGATTCCCAAAACAGAATTACTCCCTCTTACACGTTCCTTGAATCATTCTTTAAAAAAATTGTCATGTACGTTGGTTTCATTTATCCATTCAACATTTATTGAATACCTATTATAAATCAATTACTGTGTTAGGACCGGAGAGAGAAATATAGACAGGGAGCTTTTAAGGAGCCCAGTCTGTTGGGGCAGAAAGACACTTAAAACAATCAAAGAACAACAAGTTCAGTGTTACCACAGTGATATAAACAGAGCCTGGGGTAACATAGGAAAGGAGTAAAATTCTTGGGTGTATGGGACCGTCCATCACTAACTTTAAGTGATTAGTTCTCTTAACAATAAAAGTTCTTCCAAATGAAAAATACCTGGAAGTACTGTTAATTATGCACTTGGACTCTAGGGATGAAAGAAGCTAATAAAAAGTTAATTTTCCTAGGGGTAGTCTCACTGGCATAAGAAAAATAAATGTAAGTTCCTTTCCCTATATAGGTTGGCTAAGTTTTTCTAATGTGTCCAAGACTTGTTCTCTAAAAATGGACCTACTAGCACCTGCTAAATACCCATTCTTTCCTCAGCAGGGCACCAGTCCGTGTGGGGCACTGAGGAGTCGTCAAAGGAGTATTTATATGAGCACTGACATAGAATGCACAATCAGACCTCTGTCTGATGGAGTTGCAGCCTCTTGAGAATCTGGAGTAGCAGCCAAGGGGGAAGGGGAGAGGGGGGAGGATGTGAAGGAACAGGAGAGAGAAAAATCCCAATCAGGACTCAGTTCCAATCAAGCTCTCAAAATGCCCTTTCTGCTGAGAATGCCACAGACATTTCTCAGAACTATATTTTACTTTTCTTTAACAGTTTTCTGGTTTCAAGAATAGTGGTCTCGGGCTTCCCTGGTGGCAGTGGTTGAGAGTCCGCCTGCCGATGCCGGGGACACGGGTTCGTGCCCCGATCCGGGAGGATCCCACATGCCGCGGAGCGGCTGGGCCCGTGAGCCATGGCCGCTGAGCCTGCACGTCCGGAGCCTGGGCTCCGCAACGGGAGTGGCCACAACAAGTGAGAGGCCCGCGTACTGCAAAAAAAAAAAAAAAGAATAGTGGTCTCGGGCTTCCCTGGTGGCAGTGGTTGAGAGTCCGCCTGCCGATGCCGGGGACACGGGGTCGTGCCCCGATCCGGGAGGATCCCACAGGCCGCGGAGCGGCTGGGCCCGTGAGCCATGGCCGCTGAGCCTGCACGTCCGGAGCCTGGGCTCCGCAACGGGAGTGGCCACAACAAGTGAGAGGCCCGCGTACTGCAAAAAAAAAAAAAAAAAAAAAGAATAGTGGTCTCCTCATGGAATTACACATGTAGGAAAATACAATAAAGACTGAAATGAAGGCAAATCCAAATAACCAAGAGGAAGAAAATTTATATCCATCACCTATAAATCCAACATGTTCAAAATCAGCTCCCTTCCCAATTTTTGGACATAGTACTTTTCTTTTGCACATCATCAGGCTCAAAAGCTTGAGGTCATCTTAGAGTCCTCCCTCTCCTCCAAGCCCTATAACTAATTAGCCCTCAAATTCCAGATTCTTCCTTCAGCATCTTTTATTCCATTCATTTATACCACCTACTTATGCTAGTCTCCAGGAGACTATGGTGGTAGAAACAGGCAGGTAGGATGCGGAGATATGTACAGAAGTAGCTACTAAACAGTCTGCAAATAAGTATGAGTGGTTGAGAAATAAGTACCACAAAGATTCTGAACTGTGAGATGATGTCTGGCTGGAATAATCAGGAGATACGTGGGGGCAGGCAGTGAGCACTCAAACTGGGCCTTTAATCCCAGGCCTAACTTTAATTAGATGGAGCCAGTGGAGGGATCTGGGAAGCAAAGCAATCAGGGGAACAGCAAATCAACTGGCTGCCTGGAACTAAAGATCCAGGAGGGGAGTGGTAGCCATTGAATGCCTGGCTGAGCAGCCTTTAACTCTTAGGCTGCCAGGTCATTTCTCTTCCATCATTTGCACCTTTACATCTGACACCTACTCTCATCAGGAACCCAGGTGCAAAACAAAGTTGGTGGTAGCTGCCTTTGTGATCACAGGACGTTCCTTCTGCAGTTACAATTTGTAGGAGAGGCTGCGGCTATGAGTGTCTGAATAGAAAGCTGGTCCCTTCAGCACTAACAAAGCTTGACTTAGGCTGGAGGATTAGAAAGCACATCTTATTCTGGGGATGCTTCAAAACTCTGTCAGCCTTCAACAACCCTAACTAAGGCTGTGATCTAAGATTGAGAATACTGATTTAATCCTTCTCAAATTCATCTTCACTATATGACTCCCTTGCTCAAGGATCTACATTGATCCCAATTACCTACAACAGGTCATTTAAATCCCTCTCTTTAGAATCCAAGGTTAGGCATCATCCAACCCCACCAAACCTTTTCAACCTTACCTCTTATTACCCTTCTGTTAGTTATCTGTTATTACCAACCTCCTTTCCTAATCAGGAGAGCTAAATTACAACAGGGCTAGTGTTACAGTCTTAGCTGAGCTAAATTTAAACTAGACAACAGTTTAGGCCACTTTTTTTTCAAAAAATATAAATTCTACAAAAATATTTATAAGAACTTGGTGGTCTTTATTCATGCTGACTTCTCAAGTGTGCTCTGAATTTGAAGAACCCTAAATTACTGTGTTCATAATGTATAAATGTGAAAAAAGTTACAAATAACACTTTTTATAGTAATGTTCTTTATCTTGATAGTGGATAGGTAAAAGCATTTTTCAAAATCAGTGAATGTATCCTTAAGATTTGTACACTTCATTGAATACAAATTTTACACCAAAATTTGTATTAAACTATAAACAAAACCTAGTCAATGATATACATACCAAAGCAGTTAGAGGGAAGTGTACTGCTATCTGCAATTTAAATGACAGATAGATACATGATAAAGCAAATTATATTAAAGTGTTAATGGTAGAATCTAGGTGGTGGGTGTATGTGTGTTTTTCTTATGAAAAAATTACTTTGCTGTATGTCTGAAAATTTTCATAATAAAACATGGGGAAAAATGACATTGATAATACACTGTAGTTGTTAATCATAAGCACTGACGACACACTATACTGCACAAAGCTGTAAGAAGTTAACTTAGTGGAAAGGCTACATCAGGCATTTATTTGCTCCTTGATGCTTCCATGTCACCCTGCACATACCTCTTACAGCCCTTTTCATGGTGTACTATCCGTTTGCATGGCAGTCTCTCCCACTACATTATAAGTCCCTGGCAGGCACAGATCTAGTGTAATTTGTACTTATATCCCTATTACTTTGCATCGTGTTTCAAGAATAATGTGTTCAATAATGGTGGAAGGATTAAATTAAAATGAAATATTGCTAAGGATCAAAGTATTATACTTCTGGCAGATTCACATTATTCATTTCTCACATATTCTAATAGTAAATATGTTCAATTTTCAAGAGAAATGTATCCTTTACTTCTCCCCAAACACGCAAAATTTTCAAATATAGAGACAAAAATCATCTGTGCTGACAAGATTATTTTGTATTCTATTACTTAAACACAAGGTCTGAAGCCCTCCTAACTTTCAATAACTTAAAAAATTTTTTTTTCTAAAAGAGTGAAGTCTCAGAATTCCAATGAAATCTGTAATTTGTTTTATTCAAATCTTAGATAAGCTGTCAGAACTAAGAGATCCCTAAACTGATCAAAAGCAGGAAAGTGGAGTTCTGGGGAAAAGATAAAAACAAACTCCACGTTAAAAAGTCACAAAGCAAATTAATCAAGAACTTTACCAAGAAACGGAGGGAGAGCCTTAAGGAAGATACGCAGAACTTCTCAAACTCCCCCTAGACTGGTTTCTCTCCTCCTCTCTCCAACTACAGCCAGTCAGATATCCGGCCGCCCGGCCACTCCCAGCATGCCACGCGACTGGAGCTGATGCCGAGGAAGATGCTTCTTGTCACGTCAACTTCCTAGAAACAACGTGCTTTTGCGGCGTGAGCCCGTGATTCTGAACTGCAGGACCTGAGTCCGAGTCCCAGCTCCCCCACCGGCCTGATCTGAGAGTCTCTTGCCCTCGCTGGGCCTGTTTCCTCATCTGTGAAATGGTAATTAATCTCCTAACCCCGGCCGGCGCACAGGATGGCTATAAACCGAGACAAGGGGCGTAAGGGCGCTTTAAGGAAGCAATTTGTTATGGCTCTTAAGCACGCGGTGCTCAAAACCAGCCCCGGACTAATCTCTCAAAGTCACCGCTGTCCCTCACTCCCTTCCCTCCCGGCGCCTGTGCTGAGGCCGCTCCCTCCTGGAGGCCCCCAAGCGGAAGCCGTGCGGCGCCGTCGGCCGTACCTGCAGCCACTTGGTCAGCGGGGCCCTCCTGCTGACCCATGACGAAGTCTTGCACGAGGCCCCACAGGGCGCCCGTAGGCGCCACCGCCTCCAGAGCGGCGGCGGCAGCCATAACGCGAACTGGAAACCGTGGGGGGGAAGTGGGAGGGGGCACGGGACGGGCCTCTCCGCGCACGCGCCTCCTGAGCCAATTGCGTGGCGAAAGATGAGGGGGCGGGGCGCTCTCTGGATTACGTGCCTGCCGGCTCCAGGCCCAGCAGTTCCATGGAGGGATGGGACGGTCCCTCCCCAAGGGGCGGGGCCTGGAGTCGGGGCGGTGGCTCAGGGATAGAGGGCGGCTGATGGGCACGCAGCCGGGGGCCTTTGAGAGCGAATAATTCCCAGCCCAGCTCCCTGGGAGACGGGCGGTGGGGCGGGCACCTGGCTGGGTGGGGCCGATGGGCGGTACGCACCTTGGGGGAAGCCAATGAGAAAACAAGGCCGCCCAAGGGGGCGGTGTCGTCGGTCACATGCGCACCTGGGGGGGCGGTGCCGCCGGCGCGGGCACCGAAAGCGGATGGCAGGGAGCGGGGCTGGGCTGGGGCGGGGTTAGGCAGGTGAGTGACAGGCTCCGGGGGGCCGGCCCCAGCTGAGAGCCCCGAGCGAACCGGGAGTAGCTGCGGCGGTGCCCGCCCCCTCTCTCCGCCCCTCCAGCGGAGCTGGTCTCCGGCCGGGCACCGTCGCGGGCCCCCCTGGCCCGGCCACCTGGGACTGTGCTGGGTAGTCGGCCACCTCCCTCTCTCCCCTCGCCCGCAAAGTTTGTGGCGAAGCCGGTGCAGGGGTAGAGCACGCCCCCGGGGGAGATCGGGGAGCGCCGGATGCCGGGCGGCAGGAGCCGTTGACCCGGGACACCGCCGTCCGGGGCAGGAGCGCGGAGCAGCCGACCACCCCGCCGCCTCCGGTGCATGGGGCCCGGCTGAGGAGCCAGCATGGGCAACTGCGTGGGGAGACAGCGCCGGGAGAGGCCGACCGCCCCAGGACACCCCCGCAAGCGAGCAGGTAACGACAGGGAAGGGAGCAGGGTCGTCGGCGCCCCGCCTGTTGTCCTCCTTCTTGCCCGAGACTTGGGCTTCCCGAGCGACCTCCCACAGCTCCTGGCGCCTGGGTTTCCTCGATGGCTGCTCCGGAGCCAGACGGGGTCCCCCTGACCAGCCCCGCGGGCCGGGGGAGCCGAGTTGGGGCAACCGCGAGCGCTGACCCGGCTGTGAGCCCAACTCGCTCCAACTGGGAAGCTCCGGGTGGGGGTGGGGGCGGGGGCAGGAAATGTTTGCAGACCGCAGCTGGGCCGGCGGCGGGGAGGAGAGCCCCGGGCGGGGGCGCCGCTGGCCCGTCAGCGGTGCCGGGGTCGGACGCCCGCCCGTCGGGGCACGGCGCGGGCGGCCAGGCGTCCCCAGAACTCGGAGCGAGCGAAACGAGAACAGTCGCTCCTTCCAAAGACTGTGTCATTATCGGGCTGCAGATCGTGTCTGCCGGAATCCGACTTGCAAAAGCAGCGCAGGACTCTGGGAAAGAAATCTTTATTTTTCCCGCAGGGCTTTTTAGAGCCTCCCGGTCGTCTGAGAGTCTAGGAAAGGTGGGGTGCGGGGTGGGAATCGCACTCGGGTTGTTGGGATCCTTCCCAGCCTTGGGAATGGGATCTGCTCCCTGGTGATCCGCGAGGGCCGGCAGCTCCTTCTCACTTTCTGGGTACACTCCTCCTATCCTGGCGCTTCGCCTGGGTAAGAGGTCTGGCGGTCGTTTCCCCGGGTCTTGTACTCACTTCACTTCCTTCTCTGAGGGTGTTGCGAGGGCCTTCTGAGAATGATAAATCGCAGACTTTAGAGCTGAAAGAGACCTTCGAAACTTGTCTAGAGTCCAGATAGACCTACCTCCTCTTGTCTATGAAAAGCCCAGATCCAGAGAGGTTGAGCAGCTTGTCCCCAGCCACACAGCTAGTCAGTAGTACAGCTGGGGCTAGAATGCAGTCTCTTGTTCCACTCAATTGCCACATATCCCTTTATGTAAGAGGAGCCACAGGCAGAGTTGTTAATGAAGTAGAAACTCTAGTTGGAGTTTCCTGTCTCCTTTGACACCGAAGGTTTGTGTTGCTTGAGTTCCGGAAACTGGGACGGAAGATGAGGGGAAACATGGGGGAAGCAGGGAAGGATGTCTGTGGTGGACAGGATGACTTGTGCAAGAAGCAACATGTGTTTATAGGGAGGACGATGTAAAATTTAGCATTGAAGTCCTCTTGTCTGAGGGCAACCCTGGCCATTCTTCTGACTGAGGAAAGTTGATTCTCAAATCCAAAGGCTTTCTTCCTTTCATTCATTCACTTATTCAACAAATACTTACTATTTACGTGCTCAGCCCACATAGTTGATTTGTAACATTTTTTATTGTTGACAACCCTCTCCCATTTGAAACTCCAACACCTCCCCCAACTTTTCCCTCCTTGGCATTGTTTTTTTCTCTGATCACTCCTGCCCGCCATCACCTCCTAGTGTGGGACGCCCATGGTTCAGTCTGACATTCCGTTTGTTTCTCTCATCATGCTCCCTCCCAGAGGAATCTTACTCAGCCCCCCAACTCGTCCATTGGGAAGGCCCCTACGCTGTATCTTCAACTATTGTCTCTCCAACCCCAGACTCATATATCTAAATGCCCACTAGGCACAGATGTAGTTAACCTTAGGTTCAACAGTTCTAAAACCAGCTCTGCATCTCTCCTCCTCAACTATCTTCCCTTTACTCTTCCATTCTTCCAGCTGCCTAAATTTATACTTTGAAGAATTCTCTCTGCTGTCTTTGTCTCCATGTCCTGGAGGAGTCATTCTCTGGGCCCTGCTGGTTCTTCCTTCAGCAGGTCTTACAAACCTGCCCCTTGTCACCTCAAGGCCAACTCATCTCCCAGACTGAAGTTAGTTCCCCACCAAAGGCAAATACATCTTCAGTTATTCATCCAGTGCCTGCACATGGTAGTGTCCCAGAAGGCATTTGTTAAATTAACCTGTTCTGAACCCTGTAAGTTCTATGTTCAGAAATCTTTCTGCCCCTCCCATTCCTACAAGAACTGTAACTCTCAAGGCTGTTCAAGTCTGGTCCAGTCCTACCTTTTAAGGCGTGATTTCTTTCTCTTCTTTGACATTAATTTCACCTGTGTTTGCTCATGCCCTTTCCCCCTTCTTATCAAGAGCCTTTCTTCTCTTCAAGGTCCACCTCAAATCCCTTATCTTTCTGGAAGCACCTTGCCTGACAAGTCCCCCCCACCCCCCAGCAAACATGATTGCTCTTTCTGAGAACTCCTGCAGTCCCATTATACCACTTACTTAACAATTATCTACTCCATATTATTAGTCATTTCTTTGATGTTACAGTCATATCAGCAACTGCACTGCAAGCCTTGAAGACCTTGTGTGTGTGTGTGTGTGTGTGTGTCTCTGTCTCATTCATATAGTCATACACACACACACACACACACACTAGGCACTTATCACAGTGACTTGTACAGAGGAAGCACTCAATATTTGTTGATTTTAGAAGGCTTACACGGGAATTCCCTGGCAGTCCAGTGATTAGGACTTGGCTCTTTCACTGCCGTGGCCTGGGTTCAGTCCCTGTTAGGGAACTAAGATTCCACAAGCCATGTGGCGCAGCCAAAAAAATAAAAAAATAAAAAAATAAATAAATAAAATTTTCACCTGAATGTTTTACTGAGGTATATATCTACATTTAAAAAAAAAATCTGCTAGTGTATCTTTATTTCACTTCTGTGGGTCCTACTATGAATAGCTTTATTCATACAGTCCAAAGCCAAGGGGAACTCTGGAGGATGACAAGTTTGGTATAAGGGACGGACTCTCTTTTTTTTTTTTCCTTTTAAGTAACTTATTTATTTATTTATTTAGTTTTGGCTGCGTTGGGTCTTCGTGGCTGCACGCGGGCTTTCTCTGGTTGCAGTGAGTGGGGGCTACTCTTCGTTGCAGTGCACAGGCTTCTCATTGCGGTGGCTTCTCTTGTTGTGGAGCACAGGCTCTAGGCACACGGGCTTCAGTAGTTGCAGCACGCAGGCTCAGTAGTTGTGTCTCACGGGCTCTAGAGCGCAGGCTTAGTATTTGTGGCGCTCGGGCTTAGTTGCTCCACGACATGTGGGATCTTCCTGGACCAGGGCTCGAACCTATGTCCCCTGCATTGGCAGGCGGATTCTTAACCACTGCGCCACCAGGGAAGCCCGGGATGGACTCTTTCTTAACTTCACAGCGTGCACCTGG